CTTACTCAGCATAGTCTTTACAGAGGATAGAGTAGGAACATCATTCCCCATTAATAATATGTAGTCTACATATAAAGCAAGAAAGACTATGGTACTAACACTAGTCTTCTTGTACATACAAGACTCTATTCATTTCTTTGAAACCCATAACCTGTTATGGTCTCATGAAATCGAATATTCCAACTCTGCGAGGCTTGCTTCAATCCATAGATTGATCGCTGTAACTTGCATACCTTGGTAGATTCTTCGGGGATGCAAAATGCTTTAGGTTGTGTCATGTACACATCCTCAATGAGGTTTCCATTTAGGAAAACTTTTTTTACGTCCATCTGCCAGATCTCATAATCATGATATGCAACGATAGCAAGTAGTATCCTAATGGACTTTATCATCACGACTGGATAAAAGATTTCATCATAGTCAATACCATGTATTTGTCTCTAACCTTTTTCTACTCATTGTGCTTTGAAGGTCTGTACCTTCCGATCCATGTCCGTCTTGTTTTTGAAGATCTACTTGCACCCAATTGGTTTGACTCCAGTGGGTGCATCAACCAAAGTCCATACTTGGTTTGTGTACAGGTAATCCATTTCAGATTTCAAGGCTTGACGCCATTCCTCTACCTCTGGGCCACGTATGGCCTCAAGGTAGGTCTCAGGTTCGTCATTCTCAACGAGTAAAACGTCTCCTTCACAGGTTAAGAGAAACCCATACCTCTCCCGTGGATTTCGTGTTCTCATGGACTTTCGGAGGACTTGTGTTTCTTAGATGGGTTGAGGGAAAATGATCTGTTCCTCTTGCTATCTCTCTTCATCTGATTGGTTGTGTTCTTCATTGTCTCGAATTTCTTCGAGATATATCTTTCTTCCATCAACTGTTTTGGATAGAAATTCCTTTTCGAGAAAGGTTCCATTTCGGGCAACAAACACTTTGTTGCCAGTTGGATGATAGAAATAATATCCACGAGTTTGTTTTGGATATCCAACGAAGACATATTTTTCATATTTGGCGTCAAGTTTGCCTAACATCAACAGACGTTTAACATATGCTTCACATCTCCAAATCTTCATGTGAGATAACCTTGTGCTACGGCATGTCCATATCTCATATGGTGTTCCTTTTACTAATTTAGTTGGAACTCTATTTAGAGTGTACATCGCTGTGTTCAATGCGTATCCCCAAAACGAGTCAAGGAGTGTTGCATGACTCATCACGGATTGAGCCATGTCCAACAGTGTTCGATTTCTCCTTTCAGATATGCCATTCCACTATGACATTCCAGGAGGAGTGAGTTGAGAAAGAATCCCATGCTCTTTTGGATAGTCATTGAATTCATGGCTTAAGTATTCTCCTCCACAATCAGATCGCAGAGTTTTGATGCCTTTTCCTAGGTTTTTCTCTACTTCATTTTGAAATTCTTTGAAAATTTCAATTTATTCGGATTTGTGTTTCATCAAGAACACATAACCATATCTACTAAGATCGTCAGTAAAGGTAATGAAATATGAGAAACCTCCCTGGGCTGTTATACTAAAAGGCCCACACACATCAGTATGTATGAGTGCAAGAAGGTCACTAGCCCTTTCAGCTTGATTGGTAAATGGAGTCTTTGTCATCTTGCCTAATAAACAAGATTCGCAAGTATCATATGATTCAAAATCAAATGCCTCCATTACACTAGTTTCATGCAATTTGGATATGTGTTTCTCATTAATGTGGCCAAACCTACAATGCCATAGACACATCGGATTCAAGTAATTTCCTTTGGATCTTTTAGTTGAAATGTTATAGATTGATTTGTCCATGTGTAGTATATATATTCCACATATCATATTAGCTTCAGCATAAACCACATTGTCTTTATAGATGGAGCAACAATTATCCTTTATTGAAACGATAAAACCAGTAAGACATGGAAATTATATTTCTACTAATTGAAGGAATGAATAAGCAATTCTCTAATTGTAAGAAAAATTTAGTTGATAAGGTTAAGCTATAGGTGCCAACAGCTTGTGTAACAACTTTTGCACCATTGCAAACACGAAGTTCAACCTTAGCACGAGCTAACTTTTTACTTTCATTTAGTCCCATCATCGAAGTACAAATATGAGATCCGCATCCTGTATCAAGTTATCAAGTACCCATGTAGAGGAAGTAGACATGCTAACTTCTATAACATACACACTAGAAGTAGAGGCATCACCCCCTTTTCTCTTCAGGCTGTCATAGTGGTCCGTTGCAGCCAAATACCTTTCATGCTCGTCATCCCCTATGAAGACGTCACTTAATCGCATGACAATATAATATCGTATGATTTAACCCCATTAAGTTGCTGCGAGAGCTCCTTTTAGATTGAGGCTAGCATGGTTTCAGTAGCAATTCCATCATAGCGTACGTGCTCATGATATATTTTCACGTCTCTCGTGATCGTAACACGTGCCCTTAGACGGTCTGGTATTGGCCTATAAAGAACATACTCTATTCCAATCGCGTGAAGTGCCTTGATCAAATCAGTATGCCAAACAAAGAAATTAGCGCCATGCAATTTCGCCCTTTTATGAAATTTGTGAAAAGCTTTTGTATCTATGTGGTCACTAATCATCTACATATAATTTATAAGATAGTTATAATCAAGAATCTAAGTGATTAACAAGGTCTCTAAGTATGTAACCAGTTGATTCGAGATTAAAGACCTTAGTGGGCCAAGGTCCATATTACATTTAACTATAGTTGTGGTTTGCATCTTGCCCGATAATTAAACTAATTAGGTAGGAACTTTATTTCCAATTGCAATCCTATTACAATCCTTGTTTTTCTAGGTTGTTCAAAACAAAATCTTGTATTAGGCCTTGATCCTTATTTCATTTAACTATAGTTGTGCTTTGTATCTTGCCCTATATTCAAACTATCTCATGTAGGAACTTGTAATGCCCCAAAACATACCCTAGAATTATTAATGAACAATTATTCAATTAATCAAATTTGTTTTGATTAAAATAAATTGTTGTTAAGCTTTGGGCCAAAATAAAATGTGTTTTGATATCCAATATCACAATTTAGATAAATCTCATAGAGATAAATCCAAAATATTGAGTATTGTGTTATCTTGATTGGGAACCAGAGTACAGACCCAAATCAAGAATAAATTAAGAAATTGATATGTGATATAAATATTGAAATGATTTGTTAAAATAAATCATGAGAATAATTGATATGAATTAAATGAGAAAACCTTTTATTATGATAAAGGTCAATTAAACCAATTTTGACTTTGTCAAAGTTAACCACCCAAAAATATGATGTCAGAAAGGTATGAAAAATAAATATAAAAGTTATATTGTTGGATAGAATTTAACTGTCTGATCGCAACCATGCAAACAGAATTAAATTTGGAGAAAGTTAGACAAAGAAGTGTACCCCGACTGGAACCAAATTGGTCCCAATCAGGGAACGGCGCCTCCTCCTCCACTCAGCCGATTGTGAAGAAATTCTTACGCAAATCCTACGTAGCAAACTTGGAAGGACCTCCCCACTCTTCCTATATAAGGAGAACACAACTCCTTCAATTTCTCACCATTCTTCACAATTCTTCTTCCTATTCTGTTGCTCTGAGTGAGGATAATGTAGTGGTGCTGTCAAGTTGGTGAGAGATCGTCGGAGCTGAGAGCTATCGTCGCCAGAAGTTTCACCGGAAAATTTCCAAAACCTTTAATAAACTTTGAGGTAAGGTTGTAGATATATCTAGTGACTAGCATATTCGTATAGATCGTTTCTACGTTCATAAACAGTTATTTGGTTGAGGTTTCTGTTTAACATGTTTGAAGAACCAAGATTCATAAACCTTGAAATTGTTATTAAAACTACGAATTAATGACTCCAAAATGATTTGTGAATATTGGAGAACATTTCTATATATTTTAATTGAAGTTCGGTGACTAAAATGATATTTTTGGAAATGGACTGAGGAAGAAGACAAAGAACAAGAGACATTAATCGATTAACTCATGCTGATTAATCGATTAATAGATTAATTCATGGTTGATTAATAGATTAATTCATGTTAATCAATTAATGAATTTTGATTAATCGGTTAATAGCTAAAAATCGATTATTTTATCCTACATAATCGATTATCTCTCTGTTCCACTGAAGCATTTGAAGATAGAAGCTATTAATTGATTTTCCATTTCCGTTTAATCGATTATTTCATGCAGAAAACTTATTTCAAAACATATTCTTGATATCAAAAAATATGATCAATATGGAAATGATATTTGGAAATAAATATGATGTTTTCATTTAATAATAACGATGATGATGATAATAATAATAATAATAATAATAGTAATAATAATAATAATAATAATAATAATAATGATAATAATAATGATAATAATAATTATAATAATAATAATGAAATAATAATGATGATAATGATGATGATGATGATAATAATAATAATAATAATAATAATAATAATAATAATAATAATAATAATAATAATGATGATGATGATAATAATGATAATAATAATAATAATGATAATAATAATAATAATAATGATGATGATGATGATAATAATAATGATAATAATAATAATAATAATAATAATAATAATAATAATAATAATAATAATAATAATAATAATAATAATAATAATCAAATTAAAAATACATCATTTTTAGAATAATTATTTGAGAGTAGAAAAATTTAAAAAAAATATAAAAATAGTTACGAAGAATGGAAGAAATTGGAAAATTTTAAAAAATAAGGGACGAAACTGAAAGTTAAACATTTACTCCGTAATATCTAAAAAAGGTAGTGGAGGATGTGATCCATACAATTAGCTATGACTATTGACCAAATTTTCAACTCAGACCGTGAACAAACAGTATCAATGTTGGTTAGGAACTTAGAAGGGTTCGGAGATTAGAGCGACCCTACCCTCATCGTCCAATTGAATTTGATGCGCTCTGCTGGCAATAAATCACCATCACCTAGAGAGCACCCACCATATATTCTCATTATACCGAACTTCGATTCCAAGGAAATAAAATATTCTCCGTAATTCCCACCGACTCTATCTAGCGGTGACCGGCGGCGGCCTCCTGATGTCGTGCGCGGTTGTGTTTTTCCTTTTCTTAGCTCTTGCGATCCCATCGTCCAATGGATCTAAACCAAGAAAACTTGATGGCGTACCAGAGGGAGTAAAGTGTGGAGGGTGCCCTTGCGACGAAACATGTACCCCGCCATCCCCTCCACCCCCGTCGCCGTCTCTTCCACCGCCACCGCCATCTCTGCCGCCGCCACTATTACCTCCTCCGCCGAAGAGACCACCGAAAAACTACTGTCCTCCACCACCTAGCGGCGGCGACGGAGGGTTTTTAGTTCCCAACCCTCCTAATAATACCCCTCAAGCTCCTCAATACGTCTATGCCACTGGTCCTCCCGGTGCTTTATATCCGGTTGACCAAACTTATTCCGGCGCCAGAAAAGGATCCTTAAGCGAATTTTCGAATCTGATCGGCGGAATTTCATTCGGATTCCTTTTTGTTCTGGAGAATCTCTGGTAAGGAATTTCGTATTTCGATTTTACAAATTCAATTACTGTGAAATTTTATAATAATCCTAACTAGGCTGTCTTTCCGGTTTTATTGTGTCTGTGTAATTCCTTCAATAAAAACATTTGTTCTGTGTAATAATTCAATTCAATAAATACTAAATACTACGAAGATCATTTCAATTTATGGTCAGTCCACGTGATCTCTTCATCACATAGATCGGATCTGTTTTAAGGCATACTAACTCTGCCAGGTTATGAAAGATTTGATTTTTTTAGTCAAAATAGATAAATAATGTTGATTATCAATTTAAAAAAAATTAAGTATTCGGTTTATTGCATTACAAAAGTAACATTATTAGATACTCCGTATATTTTATGAAAAATATTAAAAAATTATTTCATTTTATTAATATCTAATACAAATACTACGTATAATGTAATGATGACTAAGAACCTGTTTGAGAATAGCAATAGAGATTAGCGTTAGTCTTTTAAATAAAATTTTAACGGTGTAGATTACTTTGGAAATACTAACGCTATATACTGATCGTAGATAGCCTTTTTCAAAAGGCTAATTGCTAATGCTATTACCAAAAGATACCCCACGTATTGGGAAATAAAATGGTCCATCTACACCTCGGGGTAAGCAAATTAACCAGACCGACCGCAAAACTAAAAACTAAAGATCAAAATAACCGAGAGTTTGGTTTTGGTTTTCATTTAAAAAGCATTTTTGGTTTTTCAGTTTTCCGATCGATTTTTGGTTTTTTGTAAGAAAAAAACCGAGCCGACCAATAATGATGATTTTATTTAAATTTATTTTTTTAATTTTTAGAATGAGAAAAAATTTGATTAACACACATTCTTTCTTCTTAGTTTTTCTAAAAAACTTTATTGTTTTACTTTCAAAAAAAAATAATTTGTTAATGTTTTGAACATATTAATAAGAAAAGTACAATATTTATATGAAATGGATCGTGTATATTCAAATAAAAATTAATCTACATTACTAAATTAATGACAATAAAAAAGTCTTAATCTAAACTAATTTAATACATATCAATCTACCTTTCCGAATTAGTTTCTTGAATTTATATTAAAAAGTCAAAATAAAAGTCATTGAAATTTGGCTTTTCGGTCAGTTTTTTTGTTGTACGGGCGATTTTTGGTTTTGGTTCAGTCGGTTTTAGTTTATGATCAGTTTGATTCGGTCGGTTTTCAACCATCTTAAAAAATGGGTTTTTTCAGTTTCAAACTTAAACCGACCGAAAACGACCATTGCTCAGCTCTATCTATGCTTATAATTGGTTTCCCATTTCTTTTTAAGTTTTTTTAAATAAATTACTCCATTCGTCTTGGTCTTTTCATCCACACTGGTTTTCGCTATTAGACTATGCGTAAAGCCCCACGCCCAAGCGTGCATTATCCTCCGTGACGGAGTCATGTCTGCATCCCACTCACAGGAACACCCCCCCCTCATGATCACGGGTCCTGAATCGAGTCGTGGTCACGTTCACGATCATGGACTATTCTGGTATTCCTTTTTATTGATTTTTTTTGCTTTCAACAGTCATTTGGACCCAAAAATAAAAAATAATAAAAACTTAATTTGAAATCTAATAAATTCAACTTTAAAACATCTTACCTCCCTCTTGTAGGATAACCACGCATGGATAGCACAGTGGAAAACAAACTTTATATATCCAATCGTCGTTACCATCTAAGACCCTCTTACGAAACCTACAAATTATTGTAAAGAAGAATACCTCTTTTCTCATGGAAAAACAGATCGGACGATGTAGGTGAAGGGATTGGTGCAACGAACGTAGCCACAAAATTATCCAACCTCTAACACGTCCGCACGAACAACGAACATGGTTCTAAGAAGAATTTATGCAAGTAATTCCTTCTTAGAACATTACTAAAATATTATTTGGAATGATCAAGGAAAATATCCTAATATTTTCTTTTAGTTTCAGCCCTCTCACTCGTGCGTTTCTCACAATCTGATCAAAGAGGAGAGAGAGTCGTGTGTTTTATATTAGGTTGAATTATGGAGAGCAAGTCTCTCATTTAATGAAAATAATTTAGTTGCCTAATCACATTAAACGACTCCTTGTAGAGGTAGAAATAGAATCCAATTCTTCATATTCTACTCCTCATTACTTTTGGCGCTACCTAAATAAAAGATAATAATTTAGTTTGTCAACTTTAATTAATATAATTAAATTAATATATATAGATATATATATATATATATACACACATAATATATATATATATATATATATATATATATATATATATATATATATATTACAATGTTTGAATAATTTGCAACAATGTTGTTCTACAGACCTAGAGTATTTGAATAGCGATACAATGTTTGGTTTGTCATTGTCATAATGGGGAATAATATTACAAATTTAGCAATGAAATGTTTCACAGTGCAGCAAACTAAATTTTACTGCAACAATTGGTTTTTTTAACTTGTCCAGATGCTGAGAAGAAAAGAATAATTACTAAAAAACCGTATGCCGTAGCGCAATCAATAATAACCTTCAAAAACTTCAATTTGGAAATTCAGCAGAAGACGTTTGATCAGCTGGCAGCTCTTGAATCGCACCATATCCTTCGGGCAATGTAAACATGGTAGCTTCTTTAGACAAGCCTTTGAATGAGAGAGCTAATGAGTAACCTAAAGCTTTGGCAACTAGCACAGCAACTGCATTTCCCACTTGTGTGTACTTGTCTTTGATGGAGCCACAAAGCTTTTAGTAATCAGGAAAGCCTGTAACCGCGCGTTCTCTCTGACTGTGAGAACTCTGTCTTGGACAGGGTGACAAATTGCCTGATTGTGAGGCTCAGCCCTGGTGACAACGGTTGGGACAGTTTCGTCCCACCATAATCTTTTGAATGGCTTGGTCGAATTCCCTTTCACAAAAGAGATAGCATAGTTAGGTACCAATGGCTTCCCAGAAGGCAAGTACACTCTTTCGACATTTGGATCCAACTCAACCTTATTGCCAACCACATGAACACCAGGTAAATCTCTGAAATTTGCACCCTTCCTCTTTGGAACATGGCATACGCGTTGATAATCGTCTTCATTCAACCGTAATGGACAATGATCATACAAAACTTGTCCAAGCACACCATCTCACCCAAGTCTTATATACCGCTGAAAATTAGTTTTTGGCTCATCAACATAATGCATCTCTTCTCTAATCTCAGTATTCTCAACCATAGGAAGATCGGAAATGGCATCTTCAAGAAAGAGTGCGTCCTTTAGGTTGACATCACTGTTTTCATAATCAACATTGTTGCACTCAAACTCTTTGAGAATAACACCTCTACTATCAACTTTGTGGGTTGGCAAAGGAAATTTTGGCAGCTTCTTTCCTTGAAGGGCAGCCGACAAAAAGACACGCATGCGAAATTGTGGGAGGCCATACGCTCCAGCCGCAAGCATACCCATCCGTGCCTGATAATTCATCCCTACAAGCCGGCTTAAAGCATATCTCCCATGAAACCCACTTGAAAATTTTAAAAGATCAACAACATTCTCCATCAATACAAACTTTGGCCTTAAAAAATCAACCAAATCCATGAAAGTTTTCATTTGCTCATTTTTAGGATCCTCCAAAGGATTCTTAAAGTTCCTAAATTGATTGAAGCCACTTATTCCTTGACATGGTAGACCGCCGCAAATAACATCAACATGTCCTGGTAGAGGCAATCATTTTTCTTTAAAGCCATTGACAACAAATTCTTTGATCTTTTGAGGGCAACCACTTAATCCCTCCATTGGTTCCCATGTGTCATAATCATCATCATACCCCTTCCAATGTATCTTAAAATATAGGCCAGACTTCTTACAACCATTAGGCTTTCTATAACAAATATCCAAAATATGGTCAACCTCATACACTTCACCTTCACCTCCATCATCATCATCATCATCATCATCATCATCATCATTACTCTCTTCTTCTTCCTCATCACTTGTTGACATATCCAAATTAGGGTGAGGGGAGCAGTTGCTTGTTATCAACATACAAGAGGCACAAAGCTGCTGCCATTCTTTTAAAAGGGCAAAAATGTATCAGCTGGCACATTCATCACATTTTTCTCTGGGTGGTTTAGTCTTAAGCTATCACATGCAGGTCCATTCATATCAACAGCCCATTTTGTAACCAAATTAACATTGCAACTATTTGCTCCTAAACATAGTCCTATGGACATTCTGCCACAAACAGAATAAATATCTAAGAGTGTTTTCTCCAAATTAAGCTCTCTAACTTCTGCCCCATCAGACTCACTAGAGATTGTGGAAGTGGACACATCGGCAGCAGTGAAATTATGTGGCAGGTTCAGAAATGTGGAGCGCACACAGACACACACATATCTATATATATGTGATTTCATAAGATTAAAAATCATAATCTTTGACACTTTACAACATCATATTAATCATTTGGATATAATTCGTATATTTTATCTCATCCATATTATATAATCAATTTATGACTGACATAGACCCAGACACTCAAAAAATAAAGTTTTTAGAAATTTTTTTTGATTACGTCATGTTGGGAAACGAGGCTTGGATAACGCAGCGGATAACAAAATTTAGAGTCCAAAACTCGATTCCACCCAAGAACAACTTGCGTAAATTACTAGCTATAGTACGAAATCTACCTTAACGTTGAAAACGGAGAACGGAGGAACGGTCGGGGATGGTTTTGAGGAGATGAACGTAGCGCCAAACGTATGAAGCCTCCAACGTATCCACACGAACTTGCTCCGGAGTCCAAGATTAAACTTGTGCTAGCAAGTTTAATATAGGATAGTAAAAACTATAATAATACTACTTTGGGAGTAATAAATATATAGTAAAATATTTATCTTATAAATATTTCTTTATAATATTTTGTGTATATTTCTAACACTTTAGAAAAATAACTTTGAACACAAAATAGGATTTTTCTTCTCTCTTGAAATTGATGGCCGAAACTCACTTGTTCAAATGGGGTGGGATTTATTTCATTTTATAATACATTAATTAATGTAAGATGCCATGAAGCTTCCTTGAGACATTAAATTGTGATAATGAATTAATCAAAATGCAATGTCTCTAACTACCATAACAAAACAAAATAGAATCCCTACATCAAATAATAATCAAATATCTCAAATTGACATTAAAAATACTTTGTGTAAAAAATCAAATGGTCTTGGATTTTTCCTCTTAAAATCTTCGGCCATCCCATATTATACATTGTATTTTATTTTGACATCAATAATTATCATATAATTAAAATGATGAAAAATAAAATAATATATATAGGTATATAATTTCGGCCCTACAGATATATATATATATATATATATATATATATAATAAAATTTGTTTTGTCAAAATATAATTATCATATAATTAAAATGACACAAGCAAAATATAATTTTAAAATATATATGTATTTTGAAATACATACATACATACATATATATATATATATATATAAATATCACAACTATATATTTAATATTACTCCCACTAGTGTAGTATACTACTCCCTTACAAGTCCTAAGTGTGTGACCCTTTAGGTATCCATAACACTGGCAATGATATTAATATAAATTAATACCATAGATAATAAGCGGTATCTAGCAACACATTATTACCCCCAGATTATGAAAAAGACGTTCATCTCATCAATACCTTTACGACACAAGACGTTCTATAACTATTATCCTTCTGTCCTAAATGTCATGATTTAACACAAGGCATGGGATGTGTATCCTTGTATAGTTAAATCAGCTGTTACTGAATCTCAAGTAGACTCGTAGGGATCAGATATTTATCAGTCTCCGGATAGAGACATATCTGGGCATGTCCATGCACTTTCCCAAGTCCTACTATTCAGTGGGCCCATTGACATTATACTTCTATACAATAGAAGGGACAGATCTTGTATCTGTTATTCACATCTCCAAATATGCTTAGCGGCATACCCAACGCATAACTGTACGTCTACCAGTATTTCAGATAGCATTATTTACGAATCAAAGCATACGACCCCACATATTAGAGAATGTAATAACTTCAAGTCTGAGGATAGTTATAGGAAGGTCGAATTGAGAACACTGATAAACACATTACTGTAGATCCACGCAGTATTCTCAAGATGGGTCAATCCAGTCACATATTATCGATATAATATGCACCTACGTACAAATTAAGATATCACAATACCTATAGTCTATGAGACGCAACTATCTCATCTCGTACGTACTAGTCTTGATACGTTATGACGTCCGTATTATCATAAAGTGCGACTAGGGATATTCTAGACATAGCCTTCGTCAAGAAGTAACAGTCTCATAATCAGAACATCGTAGTCCTCATCTATGTTACTGAAGCGCTATCGTGTATGGACTGAAGCTATGTTATGTTACACGAGATATAAAACATACTTCAAAGCCTTTCATTTATGATAAAGTGTACAGTTACATAGGTATTTGATTGTCGCTAGGACACCTAAATACAACACGTCAAAATTCTAGTTTTGACAGTATGATTTCAAAAATACAATACGTTTTTAATTCGGAACAGTTTGGATGAAAAAACGCGTATCGTTTGGGGTAATTTGGTCAGTTTGGACTAAAAACCAAATTTAATAATCCTAAACCTCTCAAACACTACTCAATCACGCAGTCCCCTTCACAAATTCAAGAATCTCTTAAAGTCTACAAAGCCACCCACTACACCATAATAGTCCAAATAACTTTGTAATATAATACTCTATTCTTTGTTCACGATCATGCTTCATCATCATCATTCCTTATCATCAACAATCATCAAAAACCATTCATCTCCATTCCTCCCACTTCGTACTAGCCTTAAGAAAGGAAAAAATACAGAAACTCCATATTTCTGTGCCAAGGAAGAAGGAGAAAAAAGAAGGAAACCATACATAGTTTCAAAAATCCTGAGCTCAAACACAGCAGCCAACGTCTATGAATATTCTGTAATTTTTCATCCTCTTTCTTGAAATACTTTCAATACCAAAGTTGTAGCCCCGGATGCTACAAATCCAACTCAACAAACGATTCGTTATTTCGTTAAGTAACGAAGGAGATATGGCCAAAATAGCGGGACTGCGCCAATGGTGGCGAGCTCCTCGGGTTGGGCTAGTTTCTTCACCATATTCATATTGTTTCATTCCAAACACTCAGCATCAACTCTCTAATGATTATTAGGAACTTTCAGAAGGTATCGTAAAGAAGATTTGACATTAGAATCTTGAAGTTGATAAGGGTCACCGTATGTTGAACGTTCGTTGAGACGTTATCTTTTCACATTCCATGTTCATCATCGAATATAAGGTTTGTACCTTTGTGTTAGAATTGTCGAATCGTTTATCACATATGTACATGAATATATATAAATTCATATGTTAAAAACATATCCAAATATATATATATATATATGTGATATATATATATATATATATATATATATATATATATATATATATGCCATCTATGTGTTGAGATCAAAATACACCAAATCCATAAAGTTAATATATACATAAGCATATATAAACATTGGAAATCAACCCAACAACATGTATATGTTAATCAAAGGTGTATAAAAGATTTAAAGAAGTATTTAAGACACTCAAAATATCAAGAATAAGTTTCGCAGACTCGAACGGTTGACCGTCGTATTAATCTTCAAAATGGACTACGACTGTCAACAAAATGGTCGATCGCCGTAGTAAAATGGTTGACCGTCCCAGACTAGCCGAACGCAGCCACGTCCACGCAGCCAACAACGGTCGACCGTTTGGTCAAGCACGGTCGACCGTCACGGAGATCCGAACTGCTGAAATGATTTGAAGCACGGTCGATCGCCGTGCCACACAGTCGACCATTCCGAGACCTGTAGTTTAATTAAATGATATTTTAATCATGTTTCAATCAAATAAAATCATGCATGATTATATATTCATATTGTTTGTAAATTTTTCATATCATATGATTCATTTCATCATTCATATTGAAGCATATCACATCATATGCCTGCGTAAGAGATCATGTCTCGTGCATCTCTTATAGCGTGATTGTGCAAGACTTATTAGTCTGATATCACACGTTTGGGCTTAGTGTACGTACATGGTATTTAGGCATTTCGAGTACCACCCTCATCTGGTTTCGAGTCTCATTTGTGAGAATAAGGTGGCGTGTGTTCGTCGTACAAACTGAGCAAATTTCATAGCGTAAGGGTCATCCTTGCACATTAGTTTCATGCATCATGTTATCATCATCAAGTACAATTATATTGATTATATGAGCCATCATATAATCAACATCAAGTACAATCATATTGATCATATGTGCCATCATGTAACCATCAACAAGAACAGCCATATTGATTATATGTGCCGTCATATAATCATTATCAACTATAATCGTATTGATTAAATGTGCCGTCATGTAATCATCATCAAGAATTTATCATCATGATCCATCAGCGGGATCATATGATATAATGTGCCATATCATGAATATTATTATACATTTTGAGGATGTATATATACGTATATGTATATGTCTGTGAATTATTCTGCAATTCTAGCGTTGTAACACTCAGATGTTTCACTGAGCGTGTAGTTTGTATTTTTTGTTGACTACACGTATGTAACAAGAGGACAATGACGAAACAACTCCCGGAAGGCATTGAGTCAGAGGAGATGCAGGGATTGCAGGCAAATGTTTGATCATCAAGACTTTAAATGTGTCATGATTTTATTACTATTATGCTTCCACGTTACTCCAAAAATATTTTTAATGGGTCGCGATCTAGAGTCTGTAAATTTAACATTTTTAAGTATTTGTCATTTTCAAATTTCAAGCAAAATTTTTATTTAACTGTGGTTTCACCTCAATATGTGTAATTCCGGGTTATAACGATTAAGGTGTTACATTTTGGTATCAGAGCAAATGGTTTTAAGAACGGTTTTCGAATCATTGAGTCAGTATTTTCAAAGTCATGCATGTGCATCCTCCTCGACATCTCTGCCCCGGGAAGGTAATCAGCTATTAAGTTATTATGGCATAGCACATGTACTTAACTTATTGAAAATTTACTTCCTTTGAGTTGCTAGTATTCTCATAGACCCGATTGCAATAAAGTTCAGATTGCCATAGAATGTTCTTCGACGGGCACGACATATACGTATATCGTAGTACGCGAATGACTAAGTGAACGATATGAATCAACTTCTGTCAACCCGAAGAATACGTTGAAGAAAGAACTTTCTCTGATAGAAAGAGAATAAATTGCCCAAAAGTGAATTTGTCATTTTCTAAAGAACACAAATAGAGCCTCACAAACTAGATCAAATACAACATTTGATCGAATCTGAAATGCATTATAGGAGTGAATCTACATACAAATGTTAGAAAACCATATGGAAGCAAAGGTATCAAGAAGTACGTCAGAAGCATGAGAAGTGATTCTACTAACAGAAAATACTAATGAAGTCACAAGAAATCTACTACTCCAAGATGAAGAAAGAAACACGAAGAATTCTCTTATTAGAATTCATATCGACCACGTGGAATGAATAGGATAAAAAATCTGCAATAGGTAACAAGTAAAATTGCACACATAACATTGATCGTATGTATATAATACGAAGCCTATAGTATAAATAGTTATGTGACTATGACATTGAGTTTGATTTGTGAGATTGGCGGCCACCGCAAATCTTTTAAAATCACGGACAAAGGATTATGGTATGCTTCATGTTGTAGTCAAACCACGGGTGCAATACTATTGGGTGCTTTACGTCATATTCAATTCACGGATGAATAATGACAAAGATTTAAAGACGATTCTATAGTCAAAAGGCTATACATATATGATAACAATGTCGTATATCTCAACCCCAACTATAAATTCTAGATGAGAATTGCCAGAAGCATACACAACCAAAAGAGAAAGAAAGAAAAACAGAGAATAACTTACATCTAAACTCAGAACGAAATACGGCTTCATTGAGAGGAAGACCTAAGACTTTTGCCCAGTCCACGGGACGACAACATCCAAACCAAAGAGAGGACGAGCACGCCTTCAACCATAATCATTTCAAAAATTTTAATCGAACCATGTTTCCTTCTTTCAAAATATTATATACTCATATAAGGTGTATTAGTTCATACTCATATATGTTTCCTTCTTTCAACCATAAGTGCTTACATACTGCCTACTTAGTCATCGAAGGTGTATTAGTTCATACTCATATATTTGTTGACCAAACATCACTGTTTATAACATCTAGGACAAAAACAAAAAAAAATTATTTATTTAATCATGGTCGCATTCGGTTCCATATAAAATGTAGAATTTTAGCGGAAATTGTTCTGTGTTTCATTATTCACAAACAGATATATATACAAGTACAAGATGTGTAAACATACAGGCCCAATAACACATTATCTACGACCCAATTACAAATACCCACTAACACTCCCCCTCAAGTTGGCGCATGAAGATCCTGAATGCCCAACTTGCACAATAAAAAATCAAATACTGGTTTTGATAGGGGTTTAGTGAAAATGTTAGCCAACTGGTAGCGTGTAGGGACATACCGTGTAGACACCTCATTCCGCTAAACAGATTCACGAACCGTATGACAGTCAACATCAACATGTTTCATACGTTCGTGGAACACTCGATTTGCTGCAACATATAAGGCTGATTGATTGTCGCAATACAGCTGTGGAGGATATAAAATGGGGACGCCTAACGCACCAAGAATGCTGTGCATCCATCATATTTCCACGCATGCATTGGCCATTACCCTGTTTCTTACTCTTCCATGACACAGGAGAAGTGCCAAGCATAATGAAATACCCGCTAACCGACCATCGGGAGAGGGGGCAACTTGCCCAATCAGAGTCACAGTAAGCGGTAATTTGAAGATTACTCGTGGCGCTAAGGAAGATACCTTGGCCACGGTGGCCTTTGAGATAATGCAGGACACGCATAGCTGTATTCATATGATCAAGAGTAGGTGCCTGCATAAACTGAGATAAAACGTGAACAGAGTAACAAATATCGGGGCGGGTGATGGTGAGGTATATTAAACGGCCGACCAACTGACGGTAGCGTGCTGGATCGTGAAGAAGAGGCGCCGCCGAAGTGGCGAGACCATGCGCCGTCGACAGTGGGGTCCCCGCCAGTTTGCATCCCAATAGGCCAGCATCTTCTTAAATTTCCAGTGCATATTTGCGTTGACAGAGAACCATACCAGCAGGAGAGCGTGCACATTCAATGCCCAAGAAGTATTTAACAGGGCCCAAATCCTTGAGATGAAAACAACGGTCTAGATACCGTTTGAAGGAGGCACACATAGACGGATTATTACCTGCAACCAAGTTGTCATCAACATATACCAAAACCGTGAGAATATCACTGCCACGGCGTAGAATGAATAAAGTGTGGTCTTTATGAGCCTGTTTAAAGTCCCAAACACGAAGAGCAGAACTGAGCTTGTGAAACCAGTTTCGTGGAGATTGGCGCAATCCATACAATGATTTACGGAGACGACACACTTTACCGGGAATAGAATAACCGGGTGGCAATCGCATATAAACCTCCTAAATTAGATCCCCATTTAAAAAGGCACTATTAACATCAAGCTGATGGACCTCACATTGTTTAGCCACAACAACAGATAATAAAATGTGTACCGTACCCATTTTAGCAACAGGAGCAAACATATCAGTATAGTCTATACCAAATTCTTGGTGAATACCCAAGACAACTAGGCGTGCCTTATCTCACTCTTTGGTACCATCAGACCGAATCTTGGTGCGAAATAACCATTGACAACCCAACGCTGTCCGATCAGGAGGGAGATCTTTGATGTCCCAAGTATGATTATTCTCCAAGGAGTCGATCTCCTATTGCATAGCTAGCCGCCAGGTTGAATGTTGCAGGGCTTGCTTAAAAGTCTTGGGGACTTCGTGGGAGGAGACGGGAGCTAGAAAACCACAGTACCTGTCATGTAATCTCTCATAATGAACAAAATTATGGATAGGATACCGATTCCCTAAAGATCGGGATTGACCAATAGAAGGAGCAACAAGAGCCGATGTCTGGGCGGTATGACAATAATAGTCGGAAAGGTGGGCAGGGGGGCGTCGTATACGAACTGACCTGGTTGTCCGGATTGGTGGATGTGTCGCTGACGCTGGATGCCTCGCTGCCATTGAAGGAGGAAGCAGTGGGTTGGGGGTTCTTGGCGGCAGCGGGTTGGGGTGTATTTTCGGCAGTAGGGAGGTGAGTGGGGAAGTCGGCGTGCACAGGTAAGGAGGATGTATCCGGGGTGGGTGAGTCTTTAGAGATGGAAAAGGAAAAATAGATTCGTCAAAGGAAATATCTCGGGTATGAAAGAAACAATGAGACTCAAGATCATAGACCCGCCAACTTTTAGTGCCCGTAGGATAACCCACAAACATACATTTGACACTTTTCCAGAAAAATTTATTTGGTGGTCGCTGAACATTGCAAACAAAACACAAACACCCAAAATCCCAGAGATGAGACAAGTTTGGAGGCGTAGAAGAAAGAGTTCATATGGAGATTTTCTCTATAACAATGGAGTGGGTGTATGATTTATAAGATAAACGGCGGTGCAAACACATTTACCCCAAAAATCAAGAGGTAAAGAGGCCTGAAACATTAGAGAGCGAGCGACATTAAGGATGTGACGATGTTTGCGCTCGACTCAGACATTTTGTTGGGGTGTATTCACACAAGAAGTTTGCACAAGGACTCCCATACTAGTGTAAAATTCACGCAGATGTCTATTCAAAAACTCAGTACCATTGTCAGAACGAACAACTTTAATGGTTTTACCAAATTGAGTATGAATGAGAGAGAAAACTGTTTTAAACAGCTACTAACCTCACTTTAATCAATAATGAGAAAATCCAAACAGCTCTAGAATAATCATCGACAATGTTAAGAAAATAATAAGACCCAGTAGAAATACATGGAGAATATGGACCCCATAGATCACAATGAATTAAGTCAAATAAGTTCTCAGCTTTATTAAGACTATGAGAAAATTTAGAACGAGTCTGTTTGGAAAAGAAACAAATGTCACATGACTGAAAATTTTTAAATTCAGTGTGGCTCTTATTAAATGGAGGAAAAGAGAAAACTTGTGGAGATGGGTGGCCAAGACGCTTGTGTAACAAGGAAACGGACTCGGCTTTAGACGCTCGGGCTTGAGAAGGAAGGACATAGACTCCGTTGCGTGCTTCACATTGTCCAATCCGAGTCTTCGTAGTTCGGTCCTGTATCACACAAAAATGGTCATCAAAGAAAACACGACAGTTATGTGAGTTGACAAGACAACTCACTAATATCAAATTGCACTTCAAATTGGGAACATATAAAACATTATGCAAGATCACGGAAGAGGACACTTGTACACAGCCACAAGAGTTTGCCACTACGTGAGTTCCATCGGGCAAACGTATAGTACAAGGAGGCCGCCGCTATTCACAAGCCATTCACAAGGCACGCTGAAGGACATACCTTGAAATTTATCTGAAGGAGACGGTGGTGGGAAGAGAAGGGGGGAAAGGGAAGGGGGACATCCGCCGCTGCATTGGCCGTAGGTCCAGTAGCCGTGGGAAGAGACTGCTTGGCAGTCTGTCCAGCAGTGAAGGGCGGCGGCTGTCCAGTGGTTTGGCCACCACGATGACCACGTCCTCCCCCTCGTGGAGTAGAAGTTTTGCCTCGTCCTCGGCCGGAAGATGGAAACCCAATGATTAAATAACACCTACCCGCTGTATGCCCTTGTTTCCCACAATGAGTACATTGATAAGTATCAGGCACACTGCGTGGAGTGGCGAAAGCCATAGCATCACTACGGTCATCACATGCACGTACCACACTCCGGTGACGCTCTTCCTGGGTCACCAAATAAAATGATCCGTTTAAATTGGCAAGAAGTTGAGTACCCAAAATTTGTCCTCGAATAGTGCCAAACTGTTCGTCATCCAAACCTAACAAAAATTTATGTGTCTTTGCTTTCTCTGCATTAGCACGGAGGGTGGTGGCAGCGGTGCATGTACAGCCGCAGGTTGGGTCCTCCACGCCATACAATTTGTTCCATAAAGTGACAAAATAATTATAATATACCACCACTGTTTGACCCTTTTGTCTTAGATTCTGCAACTCATTCTCCTATTGATATATCTGGGGCTCGTTTATAGTACTATACCGAGCTTTCAAGTCAGACCACAGTTCATGAACAATATTATGAGAAGCAATACTAGGTTGTATGATTTCATCCACACTATTAAAAATCTAACTGCATATCGTGGAATTGTTCGCCTTCCATGCCTCTAGTTCCGTAGGATCAGTCGGTTTAGGCATGCCCGTAGGAGACAAAAAACCCGCCTTACTGCGTCCCTTTAAAGCATTGAAAATAGTTTTCTTCCAAGTATCAAAACTATCGCCCTTTAACACATGTTTTGTCAAAGTATTACCTGGACCGGATGGAGATAATAATCTAACAATGAATCGTGAATCAAACGAGTTTTCTTAGTAGTAGTTGCCATTCCAAGAAAAAAATCAGCACCAATGGAATCGGCGAAGAGACCACTACAAAACACAAGAATAACGTGCTTCCAAAAGAGGAATTACCAAGCACCAATGATTTGCTCTTCTTCCTTTGTTGGACAAAAAGCCACGATCAAGAATCAATGAAGGAAAACGGAAATACGGTGCAGGCCTAGGTTTTAGGGTGATCGTACGCCGGAGAGCAGAGGTTTGTAGGTTCATCCACTTGGACACATACAATCCAACCTTATAAACTGATTTGAATCAATTATTAGTACATAAAACGTGACAATACCTGGTCAGGGTACGTCATTTAAAATAAACTTTGAACTTTTACTTTGTTCCTAGCTATTTGGTTGACCATAGTATAGTCATTTAAATAAATCATTTTTCTACGCCTTCAAGCACAAACCATTTCAAAAATTTTAATCGAACCATGTTTCCTTCTTTCAAAATATTATACTGTTGCATGGCCAATAAGTCCTTACTTACGGCCTACTTAGGCATCGAAGGTGTATTAGTTCATACTCATATATTTGTTGACCAAACATCACTGTTTATAACATCTAGGACAAAAACAAAAAAAAATTATTTAATCATGGTCGCATTCGATTCCATATAAAAATGTAGAATTTTAGCGGAAACTGTTCTGTGTTTCTATATTCACAAACAGATATATATACAAGTACAAGATGTGTAAACATACAGGTCCAATAACACATTATCTACGGCCCAATTACAAATACCCGCTAACACTCCCCCTCAAGTTGGCGCATGAAGATCCTTAATGCCCAACTTGCACAATAAAAAATCAAATACTGGTTTTGATAGGTGTTTATTGAAAATGTCCGCCAACTGGTAGCGTGTAGGGACATATCGTGTAGACACCTCATCCCGCTGAACAGATTCGCGAACCGTATGACAATCAACATCAACATGTTTGATACGTTCGTGGAACACTGGATTTGCTGCAATAAATAAGGCTGATTGATTGTCGCAATACAGCCGTGGAGGATATATATGGGATTGACTGCAGTGAGATGACACCTTATGGTGAGATGACATGCTACGGTCAGATGGCACAAAGCTCACCACAAGCCACTGCAAAGCTCACCAAAAACAACTGCAAAGCTCACCAAAGTAGAAAGCAAAGCTCACCATGTTTTTTCAACACTTTGAATTTTTTTTTTTGAAAAAATAAAATCAAAAGAAGGGGTGCTGACTAGATTTTGACCGTTGACAGGACCTTTGACCGCCGCCTACCGCCTCCCACCGCCAGTTTCCGGCCGCCGCCGCCGCCGCTGCTTTGCCGCCGGTCGCCGCCTCCGCCCTGTTTCCGATTGCCGCTGCCACTCCGCCGGTCGCCGCCTCTGACCGGTGGTTGACCGGTGTTGTTATTTTATTTTTTTATCAATTTTTTTATTTTCAAAATTTAAGAAAAAGGTGAGTTTTGGTTTTCAAAGTGGTGAGCTTTTCTTTATTTCCAGGTGAGCTTTGCATTGTCAATTAGTTAGCTTTGTAGTGTTGTGTGGTGAGCTTGGCGTCATCTCACTGAAATACTTCTTTAAATCTTTTATACACCTTTGATTAACATATATACGATGGTCAACCGTTTGCATCGACCATTCGAGTCTGCGAAACTTATTCTTGATATTTTGAGTGTCTAAAATACTTCTTTAAATCTTTTATACACCTTTGATTAACATATACATGTTGTTGGGTTGATTTCCAATGTTTATATATGCCTATGTTTTTATTAAATTTATGGATTTGGTGTATTTTGATCTCAACACATAGATGACATATATATATCTATCACATATATATTTGGATATATTTTTAACATATGAATTTATATAAATATTCATGTACATATCTGATAAACGATTCGATAATTCTAGTGCAAAGGTACAAACCTTATATTCGATGATGAACATGGAATGTGAAAAGCTAACGTCTCAACGAACGTTCAACGTACGGTCACCCTTATCAACTTCAAGATTCCAACGTCAAATCTTCTCTACGATACCTTCTGGAAGTTCCTAATAATCATTAGAGAGTTGATGGTGAGTGTTTGGAATGAAACAATATGAATATGGTGAAGAAACTAGCCCAACCCGAGGAGCTCCCCACCACTGGCGCAGTCCCGCAATTTTGGCCATATCTCCTTCGTTAACAAAATCACGAACCGTTTGTTGAGTTGGATCTGTAGCATCCGGGGTTACAAATTTGTTATTGAAAGTATTTCAAGAAAATGGATGAAAAATTACAGAATATTCATAGACGTTGGCTGCTGTGTTTGAGCTCAGGATTTTTGAAACTATGTATGGTTTCCTTCTTTCTTCTCCTTCTTCCTTGGCACAGAATTATGAAGATGAATGGTTTTTGATGATAAGGAATGATGATGATGAAGCATGATTGTGAACAAAGAATGGAGTATTATATTACAAAGTTGTTTGGACTATTATGGTGTAGTGGGTGGCTTTGTAGACTTTAAGAGATTCTTGAATTTGTGAAGGGGGCTGCGTGATTGAGTAGTGTTTGAGAGGTTTAGGATTATTAAATTTGGTTTGTAGTCCAAACTAACCAAATTACCCTAAACGATACGCGCTTTTTCATCCAAACTATTCCGATTTGAAAATGGATTGTATTTTTGAAATCATACTATCAAAACTAGAATTTTGACGTAATCAAAAAAGTTTTCTAAAAAATTTATTTTTTGAGTGTCCGAGTCTGTGTCAGTCATAAATTGATTAAATAATATGGATGAGATAAAATATACGAATTATATCCAAATGATTAATATGATGTTGTCAAGTGTCAAAGATTATGATTTTTAATCTTATGAAATCACATATATATTGATATATATGTGTGTGTGTGTGCGCTCCACATTTCTGAACCTGCCACATGATTTCACTGCTGCCGATGTGTCCACTTCCACAATCTCTAGTGAGTCTGATGGGGCAGAAGTTAGAGAGCTTAATTTGGAGAAAACACTCTTAGATATTTATTCTGGTTGTGGCAGAATGTCCACAGGACTATGTTTAGGAGCAAATAGTTGCAATGTTAATTTGGTTACAAAATGGGCTGTTGACATTAATGGACCTGCATGTGATAGCTTAAGACTAAACCACCCTGAGACAAATGTGATGAATGTGCCAGCTGATACATTTTTGGCCCTTTTAAAAGAATGGCAGCAGCTTTGTGCCTCTTGTATGTTGATAACAAGCAACTGCTCCCCTCACCCTGATTTGGATATGTCAACAAGTGATGAGGAAGAAGAAGAGAGCAATGATGATGATGATGATGGAGGTGAAGGTGAAGTGTATGAGGTTGACCATATTTTGGATATTTGTTATAGAAAGCCTAATGGTTGTAAAAAGTCTGGCCTATATTTTAAGATACATTGGAAGGGGTATGATGATGATTATGACACATGGGAACCAATGGAGGGATTAAGTGGTTGCCCTCAAAAGATCAAAGAATTTGTTGTCAATGGCTTTAAAGAAAAATGATTGCCTCTACCAGGACATGTTGATGTTATTTGCGGCGGTCTACCATGTCAAGGAATAAGTGGCTTCAATCAATTTAGGAACTTTAAGAATCCTTTGGAGGATCCTAAAAATGAGCAAATGAAAACTTTCATGGATTTGGTTGATTTTTTAAGGCCAAAGTTTGTATTGATGGAGAATGTTGTTGATCTTTTAAAATTTTCAAGTGGGTTTCATGGGAGATATGCTTTAAGCCGGCTTGTAGGGATGAATTATCAGGCACGGATGGGTATGCTTGCGGCTGGAGCGTATGGCCTCCCACAATTTCGCATGCGTGTCTTTTTGTCGAGTGCCCTTCAAGGAAAGAAGCTGCCACAATTTCCTTTGCCAACCCACAAAGTTGATAGTAGAGGTGTTATTCCCAAAGAGTTTGAGTGCAACAATGTTGATTATGAAAACCGTGATATCAACCTAAAGGACGCACTCTTTCTTGAAGATGCCATTTCCGATCTTCCTAAGGTTGAGAATACGGAGATTAGAGAAGAGATGCATTATGTTGATGAGCCAAAAACTAATTTTCAGCGGTATATAAGACAAGGGCGAGATGGTGTGCTTGGACAAGTTTTGTATGATCATTGTCCATTACAGTTGAATGAAGACGATTATCAACACATATGCCATGTTCCAAAGAGGAAGGGTGCAAATTTCAGAGATTTACCTGTGTTCATGTGGTTGGCAATAAGGTTTAGTTGGATCCTAATGTCAAAAGAGTGTACTTGCCTTCTGGGAAGCCATTGGTACCTAACTATGCTATCTCTTTTGTGAAAGGGAATTCGACCAAGCCATTCAAAAGATTATGGTGGGACGAAACTGTCCCAACCGTTGTCACCAGGGCTGAGCCGAACAATCAGGCAATTTGTCACCCTGTCGAAGACAGAGTTCTCATAGTCAGAGAGAACGCTCGGTTACAGGCTTTCCTGATTACTACAAGCTTTGTGGCTCCATCAAACAAGTACACACAAGTGGGAAATGCAGTTGCTGTGCTAGTTGCCAAAGCTTTAGGTTACTCATTAGCTCTCTCATTCAAAGGCTTGTCTAAAGAAGCTACCATGTTTACATTGCCCGAAGGATATGGTGCGATTCAAGAGCTGCCAGCTGATCAAACGTCTTCTGCTGAATTTCCAAATTGAAGTTTTTGAAGGTTATTATTGATTGCGCTACGGCATACGTTTTTTTAGTAATTATTCTTTTCTTCTCAGCATCTGGACAAGTTAAAAAACCCATTGTTGCAGTAAAATTTAGTTTTGCTGCACTGTGAAACATTTCATTGCTAAATTTGTAATATTATTCCCCATTATGACAATGACAAACCAAACATTGTATTGCTATTCAAATACTCTAGGTTTGTAGAACAACATTGTTGCAGACTATTCAAACATTGTAATATCAATATCAATATATATATATATATATATATGTATGTATGTATGTATGTATGTATGTATGTATGTATGTATGTATGTATGTATGTATGTATATATGTATATATATATATTAAAGAGGCTTTATTAAAATGAGAAAAAAAAGGGGAAAGTACAAGAAAGAGAAAGAGAAGGCCTAACTACACCACATTCAAAAGCTTGCTACCATTAATCCAAAATAAATCTAAACCCTAACCCCTGAAGGTGTTATCGTGGATCAGCCATTTTTTGCGTCATGAAGCCCAGCACCATGCTTGAGTATGTTTAAAACACTGTTGGATGATACCCTCCTTGGTGTGGATTTGGCCTTCATGAATTGCTAAGTTCCTTGCCTTCCAGAGGTGCCAAGCGATGACACCGGGCAGAATGACTCGTAGAATCCCTTTGAAGGAGAACGTATCACCTGAGAACCACCAACTGATGAAAATTTAGTTAAGTGCGAGGTTGGGCGCTGACATGGGAGCATCGATGAGAGTGCCAAAGTACTTCTAGACCTGGTAACCAAACTTGCAATTTCCGAGAGTATGGTCTAAGGAGAGTCTTCTGCTTGCTTGCATAGCGGACATTGGATGGGGAGACAAGAGCTGAAGCGCTTGGTTAATTCAGGGAAGGGTATGCAGCACATGAATGCTTTCCATTCGAAGACTCGGAGTTTAGGAGTCTAGGCTTTATGCCATATGTACTTGCACGAAAGTCGGGAAAGTAGTACGCCATAAAGAGAAAGGAGGGTATTCTTGGAGGAGAATGGTTTCCCATCCCAAAGTGGAGGTTGCACAGAATCATTAATGTGAGTTACAGCAAAGGAGTGAACCCAGCAAATTCTCATCCATGGCGTGGAATCAGTGAGCTTCTCTTTGATTGTGCCCTTACGCATGTAAATGGCTCGCATGGTGTTCCCGTATCATGATTCACCCGCCACCAAAGCTTGATCGATTGGTTTTGTTGAAGTGTTTGAAGATCCTTAATATCTAGCCCACCAGCGCTTGAGGGTTGACAGAGATGTTTCCAGCTCTTCCAGTGGTGTAGTTGGTTGCCGTGCCTTCTTCCCCAAAAGAAATTGGCCATCCTAGCATGAAGAAGATTGATGACAGCCACTGGGAGGGAGTGCACGGCTAGAATATGTAGGGGGATGGATGAGAGAACGTGCTTGATGAGTATCAGACGTCCCATTTGGTTCAGTGTTTTGCTATACCACGAGTGAATATGCTTGTCAAAGTGATACATGAGGTTGCCACAATGGTGTTTTTAAGTTTCCCTTTGCAGATGGTAGCTCCAAGGTAGGTGAAGGGTAAGGTTCCTAAATGCATGCCCAGGATTTTTCCCTTGTTCTGCAGGTGGTTACTGTTTGTGGTGTTTTTGACGTAGAACTTGCTCTTGGCTGAATTAATGACCTGACCAGAATTCGAAGAGAATTCATCCAGCAGCTTCCTGAGTTTGAGTAGATTGATGGAGTCACCTTTAGTAAAGATCATTATGTCATCGGCATAGGTGAGGTGGCCTATAAACTTCACACTTCCCATGTTGTAAAGCTGGATATGGGATTCCTCCATGCTTCTGTTAAGTAGCCGAGACAAACCTTCACTTTCAATAATGAAAAGAAGAGGCGAAAGAGGGTCGCCTTGCTTGACACCCCTAGTCATGGGAAAGTAGCCCGCAGGTTGCCCATTAATGAGGACTGAGAGCATACTGCCTCTTAGGTTAGCCATGAGAAGGCTAGCTGCTTTGTTGCTAAAACCGAACTGAAGAAGAACCGCCTCCAGGTAGTCCCACCGTAGGGTGTCAAATGCCTTTGCCATGTCTATTTTAAAGATGACGTTTCCTCCAAATGCTTTCGTGTTCAAGTTGTGCAAAGCTTCCATAGCAAGGAGAATGTGGTCAGACATGCACTTCCCTTTTTGAAACGCCACTTGATTGTTGGATATAATCTTAGGGAGGATGATTTTTAACCTGCAAGCTAAAATTTTTGTATTAACTTTGCTCATAAAAGTACTCAAGGAAATGGGCCGGTTGTCGTCGAATCTTTTGGGGAAATCCTTCTTAGGGATTAAAGTAATAAGGGTGCTTCTAAAAGCATGGGGGATGGCAAACCCTAAGAAGAACTCTTGGGAGGCTTTAAGCATATCTTCCTTGATGATATCCCAAGTGGTTCTAAAGAAAACGTCGTTGTAACCGTCAGGTCCTGAGGTGCTATTGCTGTCTAGATCCCAAACAGCATTTTTGACCTCCTCCAAGGTGGGGAGGGCAGTAAGTATGGTGTTGTCCATCTCTGAAAGGAGGGAAGGTATATGGGATAGGTTGTGCAAGGGGGGTGGTTCGGCACGGGCCATGAACTGGTTGGAAAAATGGGTTATTGCCGCATCACGAATCTGGGAACTGTCTGAGAGCCCAATACCGGAAGGAGAAATAATATGATTGGTAGCAAGCTTCCTTCTCTTGCCATTGGCGAAAGCATGGAAGACCTTGGAATTCATATCCCCATGTTCTAGCCATTTGGCATTAGCTTTTTGTTTCCAATAGACAACTTCTTTGTGGGTGGCTAGGAGCAACCTGGCGTTAGCTTCTTGAGCTATTACACGGTTGGCCTCCGTTGGGTTATCTTCGTATAGCTGCTAGGTGATAGTGGCATAAATTTCAGCATTCTTGAGGTTATCGAAAATATGACCTAACTCATCCTTGTTCCAAGCCTTGAGACAAGTTTTGAGATCCTTGAGTTTGGCTACAAGTCCATGCATACCGCCAACAGTAGGGCTTTTGGTCCAGCATTCCTTGACAATTGAAATGAAATTTGTGTGGTGGATCCAAGGGTTTAGAAATCTGAAAGCTGATGGGCCTTTATCACTGCTGCCCGAGCAAGAATGAAGGAGGGCTTTGTGGTCACTGCAGGCTCTAGGGAGATGGTGTACCTCAAATTCGCTGAAGGTGGATTGGAAGGAAAGGTGAACCAGAATACGATCAAGCCTACGCCAAAGTTTCCCAGAGCTTCTTATACCAATCCAAGTAAAAAGACCTCCAGAGGGTTCCGGGCAAAGTAGATTGCAGGATTCAATGCAAGAATTAAATTCATCCATGCCTTGAGTGTTTGGGCAAGTCTGACCTTTGCTTTCCTTAAGGGAGGAGATCACATTAAAATCCCCCCGACCACCCAACACGAGGAAAGGCTGCTTTTGTGTTGAAGGTTTCTCCATAAATTCTGGCGTTCCACCACCGTATGAGAGTCATAAATACTAGAGATAAGAATGGTGGAGGACGGGGAATTAGGGAGGGAGAAAAGGCAGTGAGAAACCTGATCTTCGTCCTCAGCACTAATGAAGAGTAGTTGGTTGGGGTCCCAAAACATCCATCTTTTATTGTTGTTAGAAGACAAATGGCTGGGAAATCCCAACTTGAGGCTATAGTCAGGGAGTTGTGAATCAGAGACCTTAGGTTCAATAATGCATAGAAAAGAGGGGTTGTGAATCCTCTTAAGCGAACGAAGTCTGTCAAGAGAAGAGGCCACCCCGCAGACGTTCCAAAAAATAATCTTCATTGGGAAACCTGCCAAGAGACTTTCTTACTGGATTTGCTTCGGGTCTCCATGTTGTGAGTTTGACGGGGCAA